TTTCGAAATTCGTTTATTTAACGATTTTACAAGCAAAAATGTAAAAAATCCTTAACATTTTTGGGTGCTCACGTTGTCCGGAACTTTTCTCGGCCCCTAGAGGGAATTGGACCCTCATTTTTGGAGGTTAGATGAGAAAAGGAATTCCCCAGATACATTTTTACGGATTTTGCAAAAAAGTTTAAGATAAAGTTTTTATAAGGATTATTCTGCAGGGTCCTTAATAAATCGCGGAACGGGCCGTGGTGTCCGGGGCATAACTCGAAGCCCTGATGGAATTCCGGGCTAAAATTTCGACCGTTTCTGCAATCAAGGGTGGGGATCATGCGCATCTTATTATCTTTGCAAATTTTCGGCAGATTCAGACTCAAAAATCGAATTTTGTAAAGTGACCAGAAGGCCTCCCTCCGGATCATTGGTCACCCTTATCTTTGCACAGGTTTCCCCAGGAGAGAACAGGCCTTTCCCGCCGCCCCTTTCCATGTGCCCCTTAGTGTGCTGGATTAGCGCTCGGTCTACCGCGCGTGAGGTCATTAGTTCGGATCCTGGGAGAATTTGTTTTTTGCTTTTTGGTAGTTCGGCAACACAACATATTTCTAGGCTCACAATGTCGGAGGCTTAGACCTGGCTCTCGCTCTAGCGCCGCAGACCAAAGAAAAGCCCCCCTTGGCCCAGGCTCTCACGCCGCAGCCAGATCCTGGAGAAAAACGAGTAACTAGCGCCGCAGGCTCAAAGGTTCTAGCGTAACGCTGGCTCTGGCGCCGCAGGCCAAAAATGGCTCCTTGACTCAGGTTCTAGCGCCGCAGGCTAAAAAAGAAGGGATTCAAATTCATGGTTCCTGGACGGGGTCCAGTGGAAAAGGGCCGCGAAGCGGTCTTTTTCCACTGGTGTGAATAATAAGCCGATATTCTGAAAGACTTACTAAAATTTGCAGTATACCTCGGAATCTGGCATATTTTGAAACATTTTCATCGAGGAATCATTTGTTTCAGCACTTGATAATTTTAGAAATCCGGATATCTGTTGAATAAAGGACCAGAAATTTGAGTCATTAATGAAGGTCCTGACAACTTGAAACATTTTAAATTTTATAGTGAGACGTTCGGCGTCTAGAAAAGGCAATTCATATAAGTAGACCGGTAGACCGGTAGACCGCCTTATCCTTCAAATTCATAAAAGTAGACCGGTAGACCGCTTTCTTGTATAAACGTGTTTTACTTAATAAAACATTAAAATTAAACTTTTATTATTATAATATACCGTAATTAGTATTTTAACTTAACAGAGGGTACTTTATCATGAAGTCTAGCTTGTTGGGGTCCATATACTCATGTATCCGGGCTTTATTGCAGCTTTTTTAACCCAGTTTTTAGTTTTTAATTGAATTTAGCTATTATTTTATTAATATACTGTTTCTATGTTATACTGTTCTACCTTCTCGTTCTTTGATTGCAATATTATCTACCAATTACGCGCTCCCCCCGTAATTTTTTAGCTTTTCGTGTTGTATATTCATTTATTCCTCGTTTAATACTTTGTTAGTAATCCGTAGTATTTAAAACTGAATTTAGTGAGGAAATACTTCAAATAGCACATATGTCGATACTAGTTTAGTAACCTGTCGATAACGAGCGCCTTTTTCTGCGCCTTATACGTATGTAGTAGTTCGTGCTTATGCATCACCTGACCTTAAATATGAAGTCAGTCGTTGGTTAACGATCTTTTATAAGTTCCTTATGACAAAATCGCGTTTCATTATAACACGCCCTAAGCCAGCTTTGCTCAGAAGCCAAGCTAAGCAAACAAGCAAGCAGCAACAAGCTAGCTTCAGCCAGAGCTTAGAATAACGACACCTTGTCATTAACTTCCTGGTTAGGTCTGCGCGAGATATAGCCATTTAGCATCCATTGCTATGAATGCGTTAGGTATACAAAAAGCATTCTCATTTGCTGCCGCAGACTGATGATTTGACGAGGCTTGCTGAAGATTCGTCGCTTACTTCGTCGATTGAGAGCGTGAAACGATTATTCAAAGTGAAAACGCCGACTTTAATAGGGAATATATTAAAATTAAACTCACCGACTTCCAGTTGAATGATATGTGAGACAAAGGCAAGAACTACTATAATAATGGTATTATCATACTGTTAAATGCAAGACAAAGCGTTAGAGGTTAAGCATTACTACTTTACCAAATGAATAGTTGCTGTTTAAACTATTAACCAACATTACTAAAATATGAAAACCATGAAATACTAAAAAATTGGACGAAATACCAGGAAGAAACTATTGTAACAAACGAAAAGCGTGAGAACTATGGAGCTAACGCGTTTTGAGTAGGTAACTTTACAAATAAAAAGAACGCGCTTGTAGGATAATAGAATATTACTAAACTAATAGCTGAATATGCTTCAAATAAAGCATTTTTCTTAATAAATGTATTAAGAAACAAAACCCGGGTTAAAAAGCTGCAATAAAGCCCGGATACATGAGTATATGGACCCCAACAAGCTAGACTTCATGATAAAGTACCCTCTGTTAAGTTAAAATACTAATTACGGGATATTATAATAATAAAAGTTTAATTTTAATGTTTTATTAAGTAAAACACGTTTATACAAGAAAGCGGTCTACCGGTCTACTTTTATGAATTTGAAGGATAAGGCGGTCTACCGGTCTACCGGTCTACTTTTATGAATTTGAAGGATAAGGCGGTCTACCGGTCTACCGGTCTACCGGTCTACTTTTATGAATTTGAAGGATAAGGCGGTCTACCGGTCTACCGGTCTACCGGTCTACTTTTATGAATTTGAAGGAAAAGGCGGTCTACCGGGCTACCGGTCTACTTATATGAATTGCCCTAGAAAAACCGACTAACTTCGGTCGACATATGCTAAAAAAATTGAAAAATTGTCATTTATAAGTTTGGCTTAATATTCCTTTCACCGTGGCTTTGTGGATGTTGTCCATGGTCCGGAACACACTTTTTTGTCAAAAATTCTTTGTAATTTTTGTAGTCTCTATCTCTCTCTCCTCTTTCTCTCTCTCTCTCTCTCTCTCTCTCTCTCTCTCTTTCTCTCTCTTTCTGCATTCAATAAGCGTTTACCTGCTACCAGATATCAAACATTTATTGTACACATTAACAGAAATTACGAAGAAGTTTTATAAAAAACAGACAAGCTATTTAAAGGGGCTGAGAAGGCAAAGATAAGCCGATAGGATATTTTAAAAACTATTTTCACAAAACAAGAAAATTAAAGAATTAGAAAAATGAAAAACGTTGCAAGGAAGCTTCCATAAGATTTTCTACCCATTGCAGTTTAATTGTTAAAGTATTATGAATCCTATTAAATTATCTAATGGCCCAAATTCTGCCTTCTCAGTCCCTTGAAATTAGAGGAAAACAATAGAAAAGACAGGAACATTCGCAAACGAAAATAATACTTGGAATGCCTTTTGAAATGAGCGCTTTTTATTCGTTAAGTAGGGCGGGCAGGGGAAGTGTGGATTTATGGTAAGTAGCGTTTGTCAATCAATAATTTTTCGGGGTCAACTGAAAACTTAAAGTTTAAACTTTCGCAAAAATTTTTGCAAAAAAATGTGTGTTACACGTATAAATAAAAAGAACGAACGGGATAAATCGGGGGATAAGGATAAAGAACAGAAGAGGTTTTTAAAAAGGCACAAATGCACCGGATAAATGATGAAAAATTACATAAAAATGAATAAGGCTCAATAATTGGAGCATTAATGAGAAAGGGGGATGGCAACAATTTTGCGCTGAGCTTTTCCTTTTTGTTGAGGGGTTATGTTGCAAAAATGAGCGGGTTGTGAGAGGGGGTGAAAATGGCAGTGAACAAGGTGCTGATTTTGAAGTTAGAACAGGGAGCTAGGAGCTGACCGCGCCGGAACCGCACCGCGACAGTAATGAAATCGCAACGCAGCCGCTGCGCAACCTTTACGTAACTGTGACGCAGCCGCGACTTGACCGCTACGCAACCGTTACGCACCGCAACGCAGCCGCTGCGCAACCACTACGTAGCTGCTACGCGCCGCAACGCGACCGCAACACGACCGGAACGCAACCGTTACTTCACTGCGTTCCAGCCGCATCGTCGCAGCTACGCGACTGAAACGACCGCTACGCACGCATGAGGCAGCCGCTGCGCAGCCGCTACGCAACCGTCACGCAACCGCAACGTACCGCAATGTGACCGCAACGCAAACGGTAAGCACCGCAACGTAACCGCTACGCATCAGCGATACTTCCGTAGCCGTTGGGCAGTCGAGATGCAGCGCAACCGCATTGCAAACGTGATCGACGGTGCCGTAGCCTCAAGGCTACGGCAACGTATCCAGCCGCAAGCGCGAGCACAAGCCTCTAGCTCCTAGTTAGCGCTACAAAACGCACCGAACTACCTGGGAATTGAGCCGTTTGGTTCCTGATTTTCCGAAAAATGATTTTTATTTTGCCTAGAACAAATTTTTTATGGATGATCTTCACAAAATGAAACTGCAATTATAAGCTAAAAATAAGAGACTTAAAAGTAACATTAAATTAAAAGATTTAGCTGTAGTTTGATTTTGAAAATTTCTGAAACTAATTGTTTCGATTCCGGTATTGTATGGAAGGGAATCGATTTCTCACCGAATTTCCAAAATTATTTTCCAAATAATGCTATTATAAGCAAAACGGCTCAATTTCCAGGCGGTTTGGCGTAATAAAATAAAGGATTTGGATCTGGAAAAGGAGCTCAACTAGCATGTTTTTAAAAATTAAATGATTCACACGAAAGTAAATTTTTGCGAAAAGAAATCGCTAATTTACTTCTTTCCCAAATCCAAATAAAAACAAAATAGAAATAATTTAATTTACTGGCAACGGGCCGTATTTTTTAAAGGAACGGGCAAGGTTTGGTGATATGGATATTAGCAGTTTTTTTAGGGTTGCCGGTCCCTTTAAAAGGCAGTAGAGCAAAAATAGGCTACGCCACACGCCTATAGACACCCAACAAATTCGCCGATTTTCACCGGGTACTCCTGGACGATGCGGTACTTCTTCGTGTGGTAGACCTGAAAAAAAATTGAAATGTCAGACCAGGAATTAAAAATTAGGGCGGGCAGCTAAAAACATTAAATCTTTGACTTTCAAAGCTGTTTAAAGCGCAAAAAATTATCCCCCACACACCTTCAATTTATTGCTGCGCGTGTAGAGAAGTGCCGTCTCGCCCCCATTGTAGATGACGCCGATCAGATCACGGGGCAGATTCGGGAAGTATCTGGAAGATTTCAATTAAATTCGGACGCGCCATCGATTTGCATATAGCTTTTTAAAGCGAGAGTGACACAATACAGAAAATTTTTTGCGCGAGTAAGGTGCGCTTTTTGGGCTGAAGCATAAGAAAAAATAAATGTTTCCATTTTTTATGGGAAACTGGTAGCGTTTATCCGGATAATTCCTTTTGGTGAGACTCTTGGAATAAAATGTCATGTTTCAGTGAAATTTTAAATACAAAGAGAACTTTATTGCCGCATTAGGGAGCCGGTGTGGAGGTTAGCAAATTTAGAAGGGTTTCGATTTAAAATTCCAACGAACGCGGTCCTTAAAATTAAAAATAAGTTAATTAATTAGTAAAAAGTTAAGACACAATAGCATAAATTTATTACTTACTTTATTACTCTTAAGGAAAAAGCTTTATTTTCTGCCCGACGTTGCACACCGGACCTGAGAATTCTTTTCTACCGAGCCTTTAAAGGAACTGGCAAGGCTCGGCTATCCATGGATTTGGTTCGATAAAGATTTTGGACTATAGATGCTGCCACGACACTCAACGCGACTCGAAAACCCGACAAGCCAAGTCAAAATATTATTTTAGTTTGAATAGACAATATGTTTCGTCTCTGGATCAGCTTAGGTTGTAAATTAACCTGGTGATCCTTTCAGTTTCGAAGGTTGCCAAAACACGGTGCAATTTTTAATTCAAAGCGCGAAACAGGGCACGGGCATTTCAATAGCTGGCCTCATTTAAAAGAGTTGCTATATACTGTAGATTTTTATATGCGCATGAATAAGATTATTTTCCTAGAAATTTGAAATTAAATTAAATTCGGGTGTTCATAATTACATCAGAAATTTGTCCGAGTTTCGATTGCTTTCGGTTTGCGCTGGATAGTAATTTTTTAGTCAAGTCGCAACCGCGGTAAAAATACATAATTTTCGAGGTTCGAAAAATCCGTGGCCAAACTTTGCTAGTCTCAATCTCAATCAGGGCTGAACATTACTAAAATAACATGGAAATTAAGACATTTTGAGTGTTAATTCCTTATAAATTTTTGTTAGCAATTTCACTTCTATTGCAATTTCCTATATTACCTCTTCAAATCGCCCTCAAACGTCGAGAGATTCCAGTAGGCGTCGAAAATGGCAAACCGTCTGTCCTGGGCGATTACCTAAAAAGTTGAATGTTGCGATTCCGGGCATAGTTTGAAATTTTTATAGCGCTACAATTCGGCCATTTTTTCTCTTTGCTATCGACTGACCTGATTCCCATCAAACCACTCGAACGCCAAATTCGGGGTCACCGTGATGTTCTGCGACAGGTTCTGCGGTGATCTCGTCTTGGTCATCTGAAACAAGGAATTTTTAACCAAAATTTACTTAAAAAGCGTTTTAAAAAGCCGTCAAATTTGTTAAAAAATAAATGCAACAGTCATTTTTATTCGGTAAAAATCAGCTTTTGAAGTATATTTTGTGATTTAATAAATTTTACTTATTAACAGTAACAGATAAAACGCTAATTAAGATTAATATTATCAAGTATTTGTTATTAATTTATTTAGATTTTAGATGGTGTATTTTTTTATTTTGTCCAGTAAAGGCACGACATATCGTGGAGAAATTATCCGGTAAATGATCCTCGAGATGTTTCAAACTTTTTGAAACATATTTGAGAAATTCGATCAGTCGCTATATTCGATAGTAGATTCATTATTGCAAGTTCGATACTAAATAATACTAAATTTTCTGGATAGTTTTTCATGTAAAAACATAGCATAAAGAACCTATCAATCAACTGTTTTTGAGATAAATTGAAGTATCAATAGTTTTGAGACCCATAAAAACTATGTGCAGCCGAATTTTCTAAGACAAAAAAGTTATAGCTAAAAAAGTGATTTGTCTGTTTATTTGTTTGTTTTAGTTGGTACTCGTCAAATCTATTAGTCAAATCTCTTCAAAACCCGTCAAAACTCCACTGAAATCCGAAAATAAACCTTATTTTCGCTATAACTTTTTTGTTTTACAAAATTTTTGCTTAGAAAATCAGCTGCACATAGTTTTTCTCGGTTCACATCGCTGGTAAAAAATTGTCACGATCGGACAGAAGGCGGCCAAATGCCGAAGGGCTTTTTTTGGACCCTGTACAAGGCGCGCCAACGCCAATGAAAAACATCCCCTCTAACTCGATGCAGACGTTTCCGATCGGAATGATAGTTACACCCTTCGAAAGCGCCTGATACGGCGAGTTTTTCAAAACCATGTTTTTATTTAATATTTTACGGACCGTTTGTAAAATTTTTCGGTTGCTCGAACTTGCATAATTTGCCTCAATTTCGCCAAGGAAAATGGCAAGAAGCTGCCTTTAATTAGATGCCGAGATCGTTCTGTAATGTTTTTAATGCTTGTAAAATTTGAAGCATGTTGTAAATTCGCCGTTTGCGGGCTTCCGAGAGGTGTGACTATCGTTCCGACCCGATGCTTCTGTGTCGAGTTAGAGGGGGTGTTTTTCATTCGAGGTCTGGAATGACACATCACTGGTCCATAATCACATACCAACCTTGAAAATTTTTGAAACATAATTTCTGTAATGAAAAATATATAAGTGGATTGACTCACATGGAACCTCTGCGCCTTTTTGTTCCACCGGAAACGGTACTCGGTGCGCCCGTCGAACAGTGTCGTGACGCCACTTCGCGAATTCGACAGCACGGCCGACACTTCCTTTGGGCCACCCGGAAACATTTCAGACACGTCGAACGACGCCTGAAATTAGAAAATTTCTACGATAACATACGGAACTCATTGCGATAGAAAATTTTTGCGCAACTTATAAATTTTCCCCAAACATTTTTTGAAAATAGCTTTTCTGGTTGATTTTGCTGCCTAATGTTTGAATTTTTAAAGATGTGCTAGAAAATGCAGTAGTTAAAAATATATCTATTTTTTTATATTAATGTTCTGGAATTAAGTAGGTAAACTATACGATTTTACCGCAGCCCATACGTTTCCCGAAGCATTTTTTATGAAACCCACAATTTTCTCTCGATTTGTTGCATTTACTAACAAGGAGTGCCCTTTTAGTGTCATCGGCAAAACCTTTTGACGACCTAGCTCATTCGATAGAGAATTGAATTCTGAACAAGCTCCCGTTGTTCGTTTTTGCGGAATGGCTGTCTCCGATTTTATAAAATTAAAAAACCAAAAACAGCATTTTTGGACCTCGATTCTCGCGCCACCCCCCAGAACCGCCCCCGGGGGAAAAGGCCGCTCTGACCTCTCCCCACCACCAGTAAGCGTGGCGCAGTGGCTAACACCGCTGCCCACCGAACTTTTTTTGCGATTCAGGCAAAAGTTCGAAACTCACGCAACAATTCTTTTTGCTTGTTGGATTTTCATATCTTTGCATAGGTCAGCGGCTATTTTATTTGAAGCAGAGACAATCGAACAATCCTTTGTGAGAAAGCCTATGTTTTTGAAAAACATGCGCTAATTAAGAATCAAGTTGGTGCAAGCCGGCTTTTCTCAAAAATGCACATGAAACGGCCACAAGGGGTTCCAAGCGTAACCTTATTCAAAAAGCAAAAAGAATTGTTGCGTGAGTTTCGAACTTTTGCCTGAATCGCAAAAAAAGTTCGGTGGGCAGCGGTGTTAGCCACTGCGCCACGCTTACTGGTGGTGGGGAGAGGTCAGAGCGGCTTTTCCCCCGGGGGCGGTCCTGGGGGGTGGCGCGAGCATCGAGGTCCAAAAACGCTGTTTTTAGTTTTTTAATTTTATAAAATCGGAGACAGCCATTCCGCAAAAACGAATAACGGGAGCTTGTTCAGAATTCAATTCTCTATCGAATGAGCTAGGTCGTCAAAAGGTTTTGCCGATGACACTAAGGCACTCCTTGTAAGGCTACTCAAAATTTCGTGCGGCCTCAAAATTTTTTGAACCATTTTTGGTTGGTTTCTTTACCTAACAATTTCAATTAAGCTTCAATCAAAAGCTATTAGAAATTGCAATATTTTAAAATATTCCTATGGCTATGAAAATTTGTCGTTTTGGTATTAATGTCCTGAGTATGAAATCGTTTTCCATGGCACAAAATTCCACCCAACACTAATTTACTCTTCAATAATATTTACGATTTTACCGCAGCCTATACATTTCCCGAAACATTTTTTGTAATAACTCTCGATTTCCCGGCCTTGCTTTACGAAAGCCTATTGTTATCCAAAATCTTCGCACAACCGCAAAATGTTTCGGGTCCAAACCAATAATAGGACCCACCTTTTGCGGCAAATTGTTCTCGTACCATACTTGGTACACCTTGGGACCGGCGAACGCGTATGTACGGCCGTTGTATGCTGAAAGTTTTGGGGTGTTAAAGGGACGAGCAAGGAATCCCTATGGGTTTCGCAAGAGAGAGAGAGAAAGAGAGCGCCAGAGAGAGAGAGAGAGAGAGAGAGAGAGAGAGAGAGAGAAAGAGAGAGAGAGAGAGAGAGAGAGAGAGAGAGAGAGAGAGAGAGAATGAGAGAATGAGAGCGCGAGAGATAGAGAGAGAGGGAACGAGAGGGAAAGAGTGTGATAGATACCCTGTCCCAAAAACATGTTTCAACCGAAAGGCTGCTCCAACACAGATTTCTAGTTCCAATGTGCAGTTGCCTCACCTGCGAAAACAACCAACACGGAAGCGCTTTGGAGACAAAATAATTTTGTAAAGCCAACCTCTGGTGATGGCATCGAATTTCTTTGGGCACGAGTCGATGCTCATCGCCACCGGCGTCTCCATAGGGCGTGGCACTGAAAGCGAAGATTTTAAAACATTCAACGACATAATAAACTGTGTTTCAAGAGGCTCACGGTCACACATAAAAAACATGTTTTAATACACGCCCAAAACTATTTCCAGCAAACGGCGCACAATCGAGCTCCAATTCATCCATCGCAAAAATCCTGATTAAACCATGGCAAACTTTTCTGTGCTTAAATATGTTTGCTACACACTTTTTTGTGGTTTTAGCAGTTTATTCTTTCCTCCCAAGGAAGCTAGTTTTTGGAGATGAAATTCGCGAATAAAAATACATAATAAAGTAAACGAATCCCCGATGTTGTTTCGCCTTTGCGAGAGCTTTCGATAGATAACTAAATGGTGAAAATCGGGCACGACTGCGCGCTGCTAGAGAGGGAGCTTTTTTTGGGACATCCTGTAGTCCTGCCCACGTCTTTTGGAGTGTAACGTAGCTGTCGATACCCAGTCAAATTGGGAGCTCGATTTTAGCATTCCGCGCTTCTTAAAGGGTCGGAAAAGGGAAAACTATGGATTTTGATGGCTCTGTGCTGACTCCGGAGTTGCCGCGCCCGACAGGCGTTTTCCAATGCGTGACTGATTAAAATGATTTTTTGTGACGACGACACGATACTACCACAGTCGCATTTCCATTGCGTAAGCGATTCCTGCCCCTTAAAGGGATGCCCAACCTTTTCGGGGGCTCAAAAAGCAAAAACCATGCGGCGGGCGGGGGTCGAACCCGGGACCTCAGTTTAGTAGGCCAGGATGCTATCCATTAGGCCATAGTGGTATGGTATGGGGTGCGATGGGGACGCCACAAGAGGGAAAGGTGTCCGAATTCTCTTCGGCACTGGCGCCTCCTTGCCGCACAAAATTCCCGCGTCATTTGTACTGCCCGGAATACATAACTATATATTTGCCACCAAAGCCTTGGGTATCCCTTTAATGGCGGCCAAGCGGTGTGCGCGTTGCGTGTCGCCGAGCGCGGCAAATTATTCAGGGAAGCGCACGCTAGAAAAATAAATTAGAAGCCTTGTCTGCTTTTGTACAAGTTTTGTATAATTGTGAGCCCTGTATAAGCCTTTTTATGCTATTTTTCAACAAGGTGGCATTGGAATTATAGCAATCATTAGTCTTCAGCCCCACCGCATTTATGAAACAGATTATTTTTTTACCTTTCGGTTTCAGCGGCCGCTTTGGCACGACATGGGTGATTCGCCACGGGGCCAGTAGCAGATCACGACGGCTCAGCTTACGCACTAAAAGTAATTATTAAATCACACAATTTAAAAATTGCTAAGACAGTTCCTTAGCTTCTGCATGATTTTTGGGACACACGGAGATGAAAACGTCGTATTGTTCATTCGAGCATTGGCTAGTTCCAAAAGGTCGATTTACCAAGAATAATTAAAACATTGTGTTTTGAAAATATCCAGGGAATCCCAAAAATCGACGCCCTTGGCGGCCCGGAGAAACGTCGGATCGGGATGATTTTTCAAGCTCTCGAAACGGCGAGAAAACAAATACGTTTACAAAGAAAATTTGTAGACCGCGCTCGATATTCAACGATTTCTTACAAAATTCGTAAAATCAGCGCGGCCTCTTAGCAATTAATAGGCCGATTTTGAATAAAAAACTTGAAGCTTTTATCGATGAAAAAATTAGTATAAACAAAAGAAATAATAAGAGGCATAAATAAAACGAGGAGGCCCGTTTTCTCGCCTTTCCGAGAGCTTTCGATGGATACCTAGATCGTAAAAATCGGCCGGATATTTTTCTGGAACGCCTTGTCAAAATACAACCTCGAATAGCTGTGGTTTTTCGTTATAGTTGGGCGCTTTAAAACTTTTGTTTTGTTCCAGAATATTTTCTAGTTTTCCCGCAAAACTCTCTTTTAAAAAAATGTGATTTTTTAAACATTGTTGGGCCTGTTCCGAAAACGAAAGGGCGCAATATCGAGTTTTTTTGCAGGAACGATAGTCAACAACATCGATAACAACCCCTTTTCCATTAAATTTCTAGCGGCCGCATTGTTTTTCACCTAGGTTGTAGCATACATTTTTACAGGGAAAATTTGTGTTATTGATGCTGGCGCTTCGCGTTTATTTTTTCAGCGCTTAAGGTTAAGAGTTTCCACTTAAAACCTCAATTCAGACGGTAGTAATGGTATCAGATTATTTACGCTTCCCAGTCCCTTTAATCTCCATTTTAGACGCTGACCTTGTCGATTCTTGTTGGCGGGCCGACGGCGATCTTCGGGATTCTGGCCCGACTCTCGAATGAGGGCCCATTTTTGGTATGAAGAAACTCGGGGGATCTCGGGTGGGGCAACGTCTCCGTCCTCGTTGATTTCCTGGAAAACAACATAAATTATTAAATACTAAAAATAAGGTAGTAATTTAGTGGTAACGAGGTGACTTATTTTTCGTATTCTTTGAGCCTCAAAATGTCCGTTAAAACTCTCTGAAACACATGTTTCGGGCCAAGTCCGTTACGATTCTATTCTGACGTATATTATTCTGCTCGATTGGCTGAGTGATGGTAATTATGGTTAACGGGCCCGTTAATTAATATAATTTATATGAGTTGCGGGTTTTCGATTACCAGGAAAATTTCTTTGTGATTCAGTATATACAGGGTGTCCCAAAAAAAAAAAGCACCCCTCCGGCATTTCGCCGTATTACATCCGATAGGTCCCATACTTTTCAAAAGGGTGTATCAGACCCTAAATAGCCACAATCCTAAGTTATAGCCCGATCGCTACAGTAGTTTCCGAGTTATCGCCAAAATACTGTTTGTCCCGCAATTCTAAACTGTTTTTCGGCTATCTTTTTGGACTTTGCATCGATTTGCGTCGACTTCCGGCTACGAATCCCTAATTTCGCTTAACATCGGGGGTGACTTTGGGTTACATAAATTGGTGAAATCAGCCGCTGTTTGATTAACTTTTACCAGGAAAAAAAATTATAAAGCTAAAGAAGGCTTGCCGCTTCATTTTTGCTTAATATTCGAATGGTCAAACGAAAACCTTATGAAAAACGGATAATAAAGTTTATTTTTGTTCTATCTCGAAAACTATTATAGTTATGAGACTGTAAGTCAGGATTGTGGTTTGTTAGGGCCCAATACACCTCTGGTCGAATTTTGGGACGGATCGGATGTAATATGGCGAAATGCGGGAGGGTTGTTTTTTATGGGACACATTGTAAATAAGGCCTGCATTAATTTGGCACAATTGACTTTGCCTTGATTGTTATTTAATATGTTTTAAGTGCTGAAAATTGCTTAAATACCTTTTATTGACCATTTGGCCTGATGAAAGTTATGTCAAATGAAAATCAGTCGAGAACAACTACACAAAGATAAAATTTTGTAGTGAAACAAGATAGTATCTGTTTCAAGGATGGTCAGGAGCGTGGTATTTCTCCCTGGCTTAACATCATGATACTATGAAAGTTTGTTTTTTAGAAACCCGCACTAAAATTTTTGCGCTTACGTTGATGATATTTACGTTCCGTTGGTAAAATACTCTTTTGAAAAAATTCTCATTTGGCATAATTTCCATTTCATTGATTTTCACCTGGTTGGACGAATTTTCATTCACCGTAATTTTGATTTCGTTTTAATCAATTTTACAAATTAAAGATAAATGCAATCAAGATAAGAAAGAGGTAAAAACGACAAGTTATGTCAAATCAAATTACCTCGAACGAACTAAGCGAAATTAACAGGGCGGAATAAAGCCGTATCGGAAGCAAAGCACACAAAATCTTGTCCGAAACCTTTGGTTAACATCCCGATTCTATGAAAAATTTCGTTTCTTGAAAAGTAACCTAATAATGTTAACGTAGCAAAACAAATTCGCCGCAAATAGACTTTACTACATTCATAGTCACACACTGTGGCTCGCGGCATAAATATATGAAACACGATTTTTCAACCTGACATTTCGGGAGCGTTTTAAAGTATAGTTTTTTGTCTCGATAACGTTTCTAACGCTTTGGATGAAATCAAAGACGCTAAAATACCCACAGCCGGTTCACCGTGCCAGTCGGCCAGATGGGCCATCGCGTGGCACGTCGTAGTGATCAGGAAGAGGGCAACCCGTAGCCGCATTTTTGCTGGAAAAAACTTATGTTTGAAAGAAAGTGGTAAAACAGAAAAGGAAAAAAGGGATAATGATTTCACATCCGAAAATTAGAAAATCAGCTTCCATTTAGCGAGAAAATTCGAGGTAAGCCAGAAGAGACTTCTAGAGGAGAATGTGTTTCAGGTTTCAGGGCTTTTTGTTGTGTCCGGGTCTTTTAATAATCGTAGGATATAGGAAATGTAAATTAGAAAAATACAAAATACGACTAAAATACGACCACCGGAAGCGACAACGATAAAATGAAAGCCCTTAAAGCACAGGAAGCTAAACAGCATATCTTGCAAAAAAAAATGTGTTTTAGCCTTTTCGGGATGTGCTGTTTAGTTTTTGCTTTGAATGCAGCTGCGGAAGGGACTTTCAACACTTATAAACCTAAAGTTTTAAAGTTTCCGGTATTACTGCAGCTTTTTTTGAGAATAAACGACTGAAAACATCAAGCCATGGATAGAAAAATCTTAAAATCTTTTTAGTCTTTTTCGCAATCGGCTCAGCTCATTCTCTAGATATGATTTGACATTTCCATTCCAAAATCGGCCATTTTTAAGGTTCTTGGCCCAGTTTGGGGAGCTGTTTTGCGCGCAGCAAATGCTTTATAGCCAGAGTAGGACTTCTGTCAGCTTGGCATAAAATACCTCATTCGATGTAGAATGTTTTGCGTATATTTTAAGGTTATTTACAACCGCCAAGTACCCGTAAAATACAAAACCCTGAAAAACTGTTTTGGGTACGCTATTTAACCATATTCCGCTCGCTTTCATGCTTTCCGAGGTATTAGAGAAATCATCAGCATCCCAAAATTCGTATTATCACAAATTTTTAGCCAATTTTGTTCAGTAACGAAAAAATTGTG